GGAGCCCGGAACGGCGCAGACGGAACTGGGCACGGGCACGGGGGACACAAGGGACACTGGTGACATCAGGGACCCCAGTTCCCCCCAGTGCCTCCCCAGTTCCCCCCAGTGCCCCCAGTCCCTCCCCAGTTCCCCCCAGTCCTCTTTCCCCTCTCCCCAGTCCTCCTCCAGGCCCTCCCAGTGCCCCCCAGTTCCCCCCACTCTCTCCCAGTTCTCTCCCAGTCCATCCCAATGCCCTCCCAGTTGCTCTTCAGTATCTCCCAGTCGTCTCCCAGTCCAGCTCAGCCCTCTCCCAGTTTCCCCAGTTGCCCCTCAGCCCCTCCCAGTCCCTTCAGTCCCCTCCAGTCCATCCCAGTCCCTCCCAGTCCATCCCAGTCACCCCTCAGCCCCTCCCAGCGCTCTCTTATCTCTCCCAGTCCCTTCCCACTCCATCCCAGTTGCCCCTTTGTCCTGTCCAGCCTTCTCCCAGCCCCTCCCAGTCCACCCCAGTATCCCCAGTCCCACCTTCTGCTCGCGGTAGCGCCCGTCCCGGAGGCTGTTCCCCAAATCCGCCGCCGATTTCCGCTCCACCACCACGTCCAGGACCAGCTCCCGGGGGGCGCGGCCTGGGGCGGGGCCACATATGGTCACACCCACACCATAGGCCACGCCCACGGGTCACACCCCAGAGCGCAGACTGGGCTGTGCTGGGGGCGGAGCCACTGCCAGGCCACACCCACCATGAAGGTGTGGTTTGGTGTTGGCCACACCCACCCGTCTGGGGGGGGGTGGAGTCAGCACCGGGACCCTCCCTGAGGTCACTTCCGGGGGTGGAACCAACCCCTGGCCCCGCCCCCAAGGGACACACCCACCACTCCAGGTGGGCGGTGGCAGCACCTGGACACACCCCCTGGGCATGTCCATCGATCCTGGCCCCGCCCACAGACACACCCATCGATCTTGGCTCCACCCACCCACCCCACCCGGTTCCATGTGGGAGGAGCCTGGACATGGCCACACCCCCCGGGTACACCCAGCCCAGCTATTGGTTGTTGTGCTCTGGGGGTGTGGTCAGCCCCTGGTCCCACCCCTTCAGGCTCCACCCCCTCCCCACTCCACATCTGCTGCAGCCCCGCCCCCTTCAGCTCCACCAATCGCCCTTTGCCCCGCCCTTTCCTTTGGCCACACCCACCCGTGGGCATGTCCCTCCCTTGGCCCCACCCCTTCCCTTGGCCCCACCCAGCTCTGGGCAGATCCCTCTCTATGGCCCCGCCCCTTTCCTTTGGCCACACCCACCGGTGGGCAGGTCCCTCCCCTTGGCCCCATCCCTTCCGTTCGCCACACCCATATGTGGGCAGGTCCCTCTCAATGGCCCCACCCCTTTCCCTTGGCCACACCCACCTGTGGGCGGGTCCTTCTCCCGGGCCACCCACAGGAAGTCCCCGACGTGGAGGCGCCGCAGGAGCACCGGGACCCCCCGAGCCCTGAGCAGGGCCGGGACCCCCCCCC